AAAAAGTTAGCCTACAGCCTATTTTGCTAAGTTCCTGCCCCAAGCTCTGGAAATCATTCTGCACAGAGAGTACATCTTTTGGGGACAGATCGTTAGTGCCAAGATATATAATAGCCTCCACATCACAGTCCTTGTGGCATTCTTGATTATTTTAGAAATACGCTTCTTGTCCCTACTGGCAGTAGCACCTGGGAGACATCTGACCTCTTTTGAAACCTCTGTGTCCTTTCCTAAATTTACATCCCTTATAATTGAATCATGAACCAGAAGGTGGCTTCTCTTTTTGGATGCCTTTCTGTTCTTGCATGACTGATGTGTAATACCTGATTCACACTTCTCCCTGTCGAAATCTAGTTCTTCATCTTGGTCCACAATCCCCTGCTTATTTGAGTTATCTTCACAAATACCTTTACCTGTCTCCTTAATGTCCCTATTAAGGTCAGCAAGGGCACTGTAACTGTTGTGCAGAGACACAGCGAAAGCTTTGTGTTTATGGGTCACAGCTCTCACCCTGCCAGATCCCATGGTTGTCCACACTGCCCTTCTCCTGCAGGATCTTCGTGGTAGAGGGGGCTGATAGCATAGAGGCTTAATAAAATAGAGGGGCTGAATTGGACACCTAATTTCTGCCTGAAGAGCATAGATTACAGACCCTAGATAAGTACTCTGTCCTTGTAGACTAGTGATTTGTTTACAGATAGGACAGTTTCCAAGTTTGAAAAGGGTACTGTGAAAGACAGTTGTAAAGCAAGTGTTGCACTGAACTAAGCCAGACATTCTTAGATACAAGGAATCTCAGATGCACTTGCCCTGAATGTACTGCTGCTGTTTATAATTTTTAATTATATAATCCGTTAGGCACGTGGGCCACTACTTTCCTGGTGGAGTCTCCCAAGACTTACAGCTCTAACAGCAGTTGAATGCAGTGTAGCACATCCCAGCAGCTCTAGCAGCAGTTGAAATGGAGTTCGAATATAGTATAAATACAATGGAGATCCAATCAGGGCCTAGCTACTTTCCTGGTGGAGTCTCCCAAGACTTACAGCTCTAGCAGCAGTTCAATGCAGTATAGCACGTCCCAGCAGCTCTAGCAGCTGCTACTGGATATGGCAGTGCCTGGAGATAGCAGAATAGAAGAGAAAGAACTGGAGAACATAACAAAATACAAAGACCTCCAAATAGAAATAGAACAACTATGGCAGAGGCAAGCAAGGGTAGTACCAATAGTAATAGGCACTTTGGGTGCAATCCCAAAACAACCGGAGCACCAATTGAACAGCATTGGCACTGAGAAATTCGCCATCAGTTAATTGCAAACAAAGGTTTTACTGGCAATAGCTTCCATCCTTCCATCTGTAACACCATCAAACATCCAGATCTGCCTATCTCAGGTCCTTGGTAAGGACTCAATAGGTAGACAAAAGTGCCAAACTCAGTCTGACTGTGTGATGATTAAAAATAATAATACCTTTAAAACTTTGATTTGGAAGTAGGTCTACCAATGATAACTAAACATGTAGTAAATTTCATAATATGAGAGTTAAACAATGACACTAATCTTACTGTAATAAGTATGTGTCATAATAGCAATCAGTTCATGGTTCCTTTTTTGCATAATATTGATGTAAAAATAAAAAAAGAGAAATTTGGATACCTGAGAGAGGCTTCAGTCTTTAATAGAAGCAGGATTCCCTAGTTTACTGCAGCATTTCCAACTTCATGCCTTTTATGTTTGTGGAGACTATAATTCCCTATTTTTCCATAGCAGGGTTGGGTTTTAAAGTTCCTGAGATTGAAATTTGGGGGCTTCTGGGGAAAATGGCAGACTGAAAATGTTAATGGGAGAAAAGAAAGCATGAAATCATGAAGTTCCCTGCAAAGCAAGATTTGAGGGCTAGATCTCTACCCATCATTGACTAGAAAAAGTTCCAGAAGAAGAAAAACATTGAAACATTGTGCGTTCTACATCTAACCACCTGGACCAATCCAAATGGATACCCTCATTGGTGATACTGAAAGCTGCTATGAAATCAAAAAAGGCCAGGATACACACACACACACACACACACACACACACACACACACACACACACATACACACACACACAATGCCATGTCAGTGATGATTCAGACCTGAAACCTGAAAGGAATCAATATAATCCCTATATAACTAATGTAACTTTGTAACTAAGGCCTCAGTCTAGGTGTGCAACAGATACTCAGATACTTCTCTAAGCACCCTCTGAAACTGAGTATGCATAGGAATGGACAAGCAAAGAAGTTCACCCTGAAGGAGAAGCAGATAAGGAACATTTCAGAGTGATCTGGCCTTGACTTCATACCCATATCACATTGTCATTTCTCCAAAACAAAACCCAGACTCAATATGTGACTCCTATTGTATTAAGTCTTCAATCATCAGGTCCACAGTTGCTAAGGCAGTAATGAACTTCCAAGCTGCTTCAGACTCTGCAACCAAGAAGGCAGAATGAAATCTCCCAGGATCCAATCTGGGAAATTTCACTGTCAACCCAGCCACAAAGTTAAGCAACTCAAGCAAGAACATTGCTACAAAGAAGGAAATAATAGCAATCCCATCTATTCCGTACAGCTCAATTTCACAAACAAGGTCTTTCATCAAGCATATTTAGAAACATCAAGATATTGACCACTCCCACATACTTGCTCTGGGCCACAGCTCACATAGACTTCAAATCCAGGTGGGAACATTTCTGAAAGAAGACCCCCACCACCCATCCATGCCCACCTGTATTTTAATACATTCCAGAATGGTTCTGTCATCCATGCCAAAATTGTGGATGATGAATTTTCTGGTACTAAGTAGCAACAGTCTGAGACCATGATTGCTAAAAAGCCCTAATTTCAGGAAGGTGGAATGAAAATAGCTCACTTAATAAGCCTTCTCCAAGACAATACTTAACCTACTTCTGTTAGTCACTATGATATTGTGGAGTCTTTAATGCACTCTGACATTGGTTTTTTGCTTGCAGACATTTCAATACCCAGCTAAGTAACATTATCAGTACTACTGACTGTGGGCTGTTCCCTGTTTATATATGATAGTTGCCCTGCCAATCTTGGTGGAATGTGGTTTTCTCCTTCATAGTTCCTACCCAAAAAGTTGGCTCACTAAAAAAGAAAAAGTTATCTATCTTGTGAACATTTGCTTCCATACTTATATCTGAAAGTGGCAAAGCAGGAATATTATTCACTACTTTTTAGGCCACAATAGGGTAGTGGAAGTATAGAATTTGAAATTATGTGAAGTCCTTTACAATCTCTCTAAAAATGCCAGTAAATAGCAATTTAAATGTAACAGGAAAAATGAATTAACTGTAACCGTATAAACTAGGTGCTTCTTAAGGATTCCTTTATTAATTTCCCAGAAAGTGTAAAATGAAATATTATTGCACATATTCATAATGTATGTAAGTTCATGGCTTGACAGCTCCTTGGTATAGGACTTTTCTTTAATCAGTTTTCTTTTTGTGTGGAATCTCCTGAAGTAGGTTTGGCAGCAATGAGAAACAATATCTTATAGTAGAGGTAATCTGTCAAATTGCATTGACTCTTTGCCATCTATTGAACCCCAATTGCTTTCTTTCAGTCTTTCAAACGATCTTTTTACAATCACAGAAGCAACCCTGATAGTGAAGTATTTGTGAAGTTTAAAGAAAGCAAAGATCAAATGTACATCCAAGTCACTTCACAATCCAAACTAGTGTGAGTGACTGAAATGTTATTCCAATGTTTAGTCATATACTTTGAAAAGCAAGTTGAGAGGACATGTGCAATAGTTAGTTCATGACAATAGTAAATATCAGATTAATAATTTTTATCTCTAGACACAAACTAGTCAAACAGTGATAGCTCTTCTGGAAATCTTTCCACCTTCAATATAATTCCTGAAACTATGTACAGGTTTTCACAAAAAAATTCAACTATAATAAAAATAAATCCAGTTTGGTCTAGTGGTTAAGATGAAGATTAGGCTTAGGGTTGGGCTAAAAAACAGGAAACCATGATTTCAATTCCTGTCTTAGCCATGAAAGCTAGCTATGTGATTTTGGTCAGTCACTCTCTCTCAGCCCAACTCACCTCAACAGGGTTATGGGGAAAATAGGACAAAGGTATGTTGGATATTTTGCCACCTTGTTATTAATAAAATACAAATTAAATAAATAAATACATCGTTTTCTCTTTTTTCCTCATATTCTTCTTCTTTAATTCTTTTTCCCCCAAACTGGAAACAATCTCTGACTGGATATTCCACTTTTATTTTAAGGATCAGATATACTAGAGGTTTTTTGAATAAAGGTCTTCATAAAAGTGAACATACCTACTTGAATGTTTAAAAATAGGATTGAAGTGAGAATATATCAGAAGGGTGATGCAGAAGGGAGAAGGGTATGATTTAAGGAACAACTGCTCTACCACCTCATCTAATGAGGTCCCTAAATCAGCTTTTGCTCTAACTGTCGCCTCTTGCAATGACTGCTTCAACTGGAAGAACCAACTTTAGTGGCCCTGGCACTTTCTTGGCATCACTGCTGGTTGCCTTCTTCTTCTCAATTTCCCACCTCCTGTTTATGAAGGCATAAAAGGAAGGGGAATATATTACATTTGCCTATTAATTTTTTTTTATATCTCATACACCTTTTTTTATATCTCATGCACACTGCATTTCAATAAATGTATCTGAATATAAAATAATCCTAGTCCCTTGAATAGGATAAACATCTGTGACTTGGAGAAAGCACAATATTAATGTCAAATTAATGACTAGGTAAATCATTTTGCACTTGGGCTCATCATCTTCTGGCTGAGAGACGTCAGGAGAAAGTCAGAGGAATGGTTTTCTACAGACGGCTTTAATATCACCTGTCTCGCAAAGTTCTGCTTATATAATTAAGCTTAATAATAATAATACACTGTCTGTATTTAATACAAAGATTATTTATTGTAAATAATACACTGGCTGGATTTAATAAAATATATTTATTTCAAAGTTATATTACAGATTTAAAGATAATGGGAGAAAATAGTTTACAATCCAAAAGTGAATAGTAGCTATATTTATTAAATACATAAGAGAGCAGACAGTATTTTAGGGAAGAGATTTTAGAAAGCTGAAAAGCAATCTGAGTTTTAAAATCTGGCTCATGAGAGAGAGATCTAGGCTTTGAACATTATGTATTTTTTTCAATCACAAGTAGTACATATTAAATATGTTTTCTTAATTGAAATAATATCTATAGTATCTATTTATAACAGCTTATAATAATTGTGGTTATTTGGGCATTCTTCATAGTTTTAAAACAACTTTTTTCAAAGTATATTATCTCATAATAGCTTGGGCAAATTATAAATGCTTTTATATCTTGAATATAGATAGGGTTGACTGCTTTGAATTTGTATTTATTTCTTCAAAAAGAACATTCTCCCCACTTTCTCAGTTCTTCAAGGTCATTGCACAGCTAAGTTCCAGGGTCATAAATTATTGTAGTTCACTATGATAGCAAATAACAAGTAAACAGTGCTATAAAGCACGGTTCCTCATTACACTGCTATTCTCAGAACTGAGTGTACTATGTTATTTCACTTACTGGTGTTCCTGGCTTACACTTATGTAGTTTAAACAAACAATATGCAGGATACGTTATACTCATGATGCAATGTTGAAATGTAAGCCTCTTCAACTGATTTCCTTTCCATGGCATGGACATCATTAGAGCACATCAAGAGAGTATCTCCCGATAAAATATCATAGCTGCAAATTCTGTTCTATTCCACACAGAAGGAATTTTAACTGATAAACTGTATGCACAGATGTAATAATGGGAAAAGAAGAAATGAAAATGACTCTTATTTCAGAAGAGTCTGTATTAAAATGTAATAGTAATATACTATTATTAATATTAATATATAATAATCTATCGTTCTTAGCTGTGACAGGGTAATGTCAACCAGACATTTGCCAAGTATTCAGTACAAGGCATAGTGGAAACTAGTCATCTGTGCTGCTTTATACCTGGTTCTCAATGCCTCATTGAGAAGAAATATTCAGAACAAAGAATTTTAGGCTGAAAGAGGATTAAAGGAATATCACTGCCTAGTTTGTCATTCTAGAACACACTGACCTTAGCAGGGAGTGTGGGAGGAACCTGTTAGCAGAAGGAGTGGCAGACTGCTGCTGGCTGGTAGATAAACAGGTAAACAAATGAGCTTGGTTTTGGAGCAATGCCCTGTCCTTCCGCATCATCATCTAATGATCAGATCAATCAATCTAATGCAAGGCCTGTCCTGATTCCTCCCATCATTCTATGCAAATATAAAAAGTAATAAATTAGCAGATGGCCACAAAATTTCTGTGGTAGTGATTTTCTGTTAGGCATTCCAGGAATAACTTTGATGGCGTATAAGTTGCATGGCATCTTTATCTTCAGGTTAATTACACAACTTCAATAATGAAAGGCAACATGGTGAAGTAAAGATGTGTCCTTGAATATTGTGCAGCGTGACTCTAATACTGACAAAAGTAGACAGTTCATCTGAAATTTGATACCTCGTTCACTTAACTGGAACAATTCCTTCTCAGGTTTTGTTGAGAGTCAGTGGACCTAAATTAAAAAGAGAGAAAAGAAGAAAAAAGAGCTTGATAATATCCACAAGTAAGCTGAGAGGGAGAAGCTTCTATTATTTCTTCATACAAATACTCGCATTCCTCTATGCTAAAATCTTGCTATTCCTCTGAATCATACTTTAGCTGTCGAAACATAAAGGATAATGGCTGCTTAATTTCCACTATTGTGTAACTGGAATAGAGACAACTGCTTACAAAGTCACTGTTGCCTTCACAGCAAGTGACGGCATTAGGGTACTTTAGTTCTAAAAGACTTTCAGCCACACTTCTAAACAGTTTTACGATTATTGTGAATTATGTCTCTTTTCCTCATTTCTCATACCCATTAATGACAATAGCAGTATATTATTCATATGTTTCGCTTCAGGAATTGTTCTAGTTTAATTCAAGTTAAACTGTACATATTACTGCATTTAGAAATATAATGTATTTAAATTGAAAAAACTGTGTATTTCATTAAATATATATTCACATTAACAAAACTTATTTAAAATTAAAAAAGGAAATTGTTGGGAGAAGCACTTAATGGGCTCTAGTATTCTTTCCTCATAAGCCATTTTTGCAATGAAAATTATGGCCCTAAAGCTACAGTACATTTATTCAGAAGAGAAATGGTGAAGAATACCCAAAATACTTTCTTTTCTATGAGAACTAGCACCCTAGGAATTGGATTTGCATTAGGAAAAGATTACTATCATCCAATAAAGAAGAATATTTGTTGCTCAGAGTGGAAATGAGGGGTCCTTGGTGCTCTCTGAGCTTGATTCTTTTCTTGAAGACTTTTCATTACATTATTAGCACAGATTTTATTTATTTATTTATGAGACTTATATACCGCTTTAAGTGCAAGCACTCTCTAAGCGGTGTACACCAGTAAGCAATGTATATATATATTTATATTGCCCCCAACAATCTGGGTCCTCATTTTACCTACCTCGGAAGGATGGAAGGCTGAGTCAGATGTTATTAACATCTCATTACTATTATCAATATAATCAATATATAATCAATATATAACCCTCATTACTATCATCATCATCACACACACACACACACACATACCAACACATACATGTACCAAGCTCCTGTAATACAGCAGCACACTGGATCACCTCTATGCAAATGTAAATATATACATTTATACAGGTTCCCATTTTAAATATCCTAATTAAGGAGTCAGTCTCATTGAAATCAAAGTGATATGTACCTTTCAGAAAAAAATTAGGTTTTATATTAATAATTACAGAATTTGATTCTAAATTGTTTTGTGTTATGCAATAGGAAATATGGGAAATATATTTCAATTCAGGATACTGCATCATAAAAACTATCAACTATGGAAAGACATGTGGAAATAAAATTGCTGAGTTTTTTAATTTGGGGAAATAATAGGAGACAGAGATGTTTTTAAAATTCAGTTCTATAGCTTCTGTAGATATAAAAAGTAGATGTAAAAAAAGTGGGGAGGTGGGTTCCATACTTGCAACAAGACAGATTACTGTATCTAAATGTATCCTAGTCAGCACAAAGAAAGAGACTCACATATACAATGATGATATTGTTTGCATTGAGCATTCGATAAGGAACATGTAAGATATCCTCTTTTAATAATCCGTCCAAGCATGATTTCAGCAATGTTGGAGAAATTATGGAATGGTTATTTCAAATGCCACTCAAATCATGCTTCAAAAAAGTGCAAGCACAATGAAGTGGCTGCACTTTACTTCCTATGCAATTGTTCTATTGCTCCCAAACCACTGCTTCCCTGAATACATATAACGTCAGAAAGAGTAGAGTATGAATTTTGGGGGAAACCATGTCATACACCATGCTGGAATTGTTGCTTCAGTTCAGGATCATTTCCGGAGAATGGGAGTAAAGAAACCTGGACCTGATAAATACCATTAATGGTTTATTTGATCAATAGAATACATAATTAAGTGTTTCATGCACAGTGTTCACTTTAATAACCAAAATTAAATATGTATTAAAATATAAAACTTTGATGCTGACTTAAAAATGAATTATTTTGTTACAAACTATTTCCCTATCTTTCCAACTCTAAGAATGAAGCAATGAAAAAACAATGCAAACATAAAATGCAACAAAACAAATACTCCATTTTCCAAAAATCATTAGCAGCTCTAGTCCTATAATGATTCTATTCTGATGGCTCATCTTAGTTGATGATTTTTCACAATGTATTTCATGGCTTCCATCCCTACATGAGACTTTATTACTATCACATAGGAATAAAAAGCCATAAAACACTAGAGTGAATTTATCTTGATCAGATGCCATACTGATTTTCTTCACATGATTTCACAATCATTTCCAAACTAACTGAGAATTTCATGCTACATTATTCAACATTTGAAAACTATATTGCAGTTGTTTAAAAAGTGCTCTGTCACAAATTAACAGCAATTTAGGCTTCAGAGAGATTGCTAACTGAACAGACAGGGGGACAGTCACCACACACAACCATTGAATTCACCGATAGACAGGACACCACAAAAATAGCACTAGAACAGACATATAAAAGACAAAACAACTACAAACGTATCCTTGGAATCTTTTAAGCATCCTCAACTCTTTCCTGTTTAGTTTCCTTAAATGGGCACTGCAAACAACTCAAACATTTGTGTCAGAGGATGCTACTCAGACAACAGTTTTATAGATATACTAAAGAAGCTTTTCCTCATGTAGTGCTCTCCAGATGTCTTTTATCTATGCCTTCCAAATTGCCAGTCAGTATAACCAATGATCTTGCTGGCTCAAAATTCACACACTTAGAATCAAAAAAGCTAAACTAAAACACTTCTGATTTACACAGAGGTGGTAATGCTGAGATGAAAATATATTACTTTCAAACATACCACATGGCACCTTCATCTTTAACCAAATCCATGAAAATTCTACAACCTATCTAACCTGCTGGACAATAAAGAAATAAAGCTTTTGTTTTCAAAATCAAGCTATGACTACATAAATTCTGAAATAAAGTACTCCAAAGAATTAATTACTATGTGTTTTTCCTGCTAACAGGCTAATGACATAGGTCTCTATGTTCACTGAAAAGAAAAGATCTTACATTCAATATCTTTGGAAATATTTTTCTTTCTACCTTTCTATATAGCATGTGCTAAAGAATATCCAAAATGCTTCAAGAAGTCTGTAATACTTTAAATAAAATAACTGATAATAACCTTAGCAAAATAATTATCTTGTTAATTGTTGTTAATAATTGCAATGGAAAATCTACTCTATTTTATTGTTTTCTTACTCTTCTCTGGCTGCCTATCAAATCTATTTCTTGTCTAACACCATGTGGTTAATACAAGTGAAAACAGGAAATTCATAAATGAAAGGTAGTGCATAAATAAATTAAATTATCATGCATAAAACATGTAAATGATTTAAAAACTGCATATGAAACTTTATTTTCATTCAACTGCATTTTGGCAGGACAAATAGTCACTGATTCGATCCAGATTAATGTGCTCCCAAAAATTATCAATATGTTTTAAATATGGAGAAAGAGTTCATCTTTCTGTATAGTTTTTTATTTTGTTAGAGATGCTAACAACAAACTACAAACTTACTGAACAGACTTACTGCACTAAATGCTAGATACTAGATGCTCTCCAAGGTTCCTGCCATTCCTGCTATTTTATAATTCTATGATGTTTTAAACACAGAAGTTCTTCAGCAATTGCTGAATTACTAATCCAGGAGAGTAATGGTATTAGATATAAGAAACTATAGGCCCATAATTAATTCATCCTTGTTTTATAGGATAAAGGTAAAAAAGATGTCTTACGCTAGGGGGCAGTGCTCATCTCCGTTTCTTAGCCGAGAGAGCCAATGTTGTCCAAAGATGCTTCTGTGGTCATGTGGCCAACATGACTATAAGGCACATGGAACGCTGTTACCTTCCCGCCAAAATGGTACTTATTTATCTATTTGCATTTACATGCTTTCAAATTGCTAGGGGGTAGGAGCTGGATGAGGAAAACTTACCGTATTCCTGATAAATGTTCTTCATCCATTATTTATGATATTGAATTATATTATATTTGTTCTTTTAATGTTCTAAAATATTATTTTATTTCATTTTAGCATCTTACGTAGTTTATGGAAGTTAACCCACTGCTAGATCTATGTCAGTGATATTATTTTTAAAAAATATCAATCTTATTTATAATCCAGTGTCATGAGATTCATAAAAAATGTCAGGAAACAATCTAATTCAAGTATTTCTAAATTCATGGACCAATAAGAGAGATTTAAGCTCATTTTATACATTTTCATGGAACTCAGCAGGAAAAAGAACTGCCCAGTATTTTCATTCCAGCTTGGGCTTCCTTCTTCTAAAGATTAATCATAGGTTGGCATGGTGATATTACATGGCTTAGATAGATTCAAGAAGCTTCTTTTCTTTTTCTTTTTTTAATTTTGGCAAGAGAAAGAAAAGAGATGACTTTTTTTGGTTTTGTACTTCAGTTCAGCCAAACAAAGTTCCTATCTAAAAATTGGATTTCAGCCAATTCAATTGTTTTATTCTTGGGGTTGATTTGAGAAATATAGTCCCTGGGTTAAAATTTTATTTTAATACTTTTACGCTGCAATGTCAGCCTTTTTTTAAGGGTAGGAATGAAATTATTTCTCTCAACTGCAGCCTGAAATGAAAAAGGAGGACACAAAGACCTATAAGACACTAACCATAAAGAAGCAGCTTTGTTTGGGATGGGATGGGATGGGATGGGATGGGATGGGATGGAATGGAATAGAATAGAATAGAATAGAATAGAATAGAATAGAATAGAATAGAATAGAATAGAATAGAATAGAAGCAGAGCTTTATTGTCACTTTGAATCGGCATACATTAAAATGAAATGAAAAATGAAGTTTTTTTATTTATTTATTAGAAAAAGGCTGAATATTTCACACACAAAAAATTTCCAAATAGGATATCAAAAAGCTTGTTCTGATTATATGAACAAAAATAAAGCATGTGTGGGGAAAAAAATCAGTGAAATTTTCTGGCTTCACTGAAAACTGATTTAATTTATTGCCAGTGATGTCATTTACATGCGCTTACTATTACATGAATTAAAGATTAAAATTCAGTCTCAAAGCTCAACTTATATACACTTGCGTATTTCACTAGTTTTAGGGAAACTTGAAACTAGAATATAACTCTAAGCCTCCTTGTGAAAAATGTAGTCTGTAAATGACAGAAACATTACCACAAAGAAGCAAAGACATGTACAAAGACACATACACATATTCACACAGGCACACACATTTATTAAGTCTCTCACTCTGAAAGCCTTCTGAGGGCTACTTGTGCACATCTGCATATTAAATTAGTTGCCATAAAACAGCATAAGGATGATATCTTCCTGTCAACACAGTGACAAATGTTCTGACAGCCTTTTAGTCTTGAAATATGCTGGTATAAATATGCTTAAATTCTTAGCTCCTAAAAGAGAAAGCTATTAGGCAGATTTCAATACCACAAGTAATGACTAAGAATATTCACCTTGTGAGACCATTTCTGAACCAGGTCTTTGGCACTTTACAGAAATATCCAAAGTATCTATGTGCCTTTTTTCATTTTCTGCTTTGTGGGTAATTCTCTCATCGTATTCAAGCCTGGCAATTTCCTCAAAGGTTCCTTTTAGGTGTGGCAGAGTCTGGAGTGGATCTTTTGTTTCAGGAATATATTGCTGGAACTGTCAGAGAGGAAAAAAAAATCTGTGATAAAGTGAACTTTCTAAGTTTGTATATAAATAATATTTAAACCATTATATACTGCTGATGGATGAAACATCCTGTTTACCTTGGAAATAATAGTCTTTTCTTCTTCAAATCATCATTCAGACCTGAATGTCATCCAGAAGTGATTTCTGCCTTCTTCAACTTATCCAGCATCTGAGGCCATGAGATAACTCTCATGGCACTGGCTTTTACTGACTCCATTATTAGCCTCCTAGTGAGCGAGACAGAATACAATGAATGTAATAACCATACTTCACACAACAGGCCCTCTCTCGCTTTTAAATTGAAAATCCCCTTATTACAAAACAAGGGATGTTTTTTTTTTCTTTTACCTTTAGGTAGGTCTGCCACATTGATAGGATTTTACAAAAACACAGCTGCTTTTTAAGCTAGAGAGAAATTGCATCTGCTAGACAGTAGTTCTTCTTAGCCTGAATTGTATTGTTTTCTAAGTAGTTGGTAAGGGATTGTATCCCCCCTAATGCATGTTCTGTTCTCTGCTTGTGTATTGGTGTGTGAGAAAAAATAAAACATCCACATATTTTGAATGCAGCACATCAATGATTTGCCTATCACTGTGTTTTACATAGAAATGAATGTTGAAATTGAGAAAATATCAGAAACTGCAAGTAATGAATAATCCTTCAAAAATTTTGAGATTTTATATCTTTCTTTCTCTCTATATGTGTAAATTATAAACACTACAGGGACACTTCAAATGATGAATGCATTTCTTACCTGGAACATATATTATTTAATGATCATAATGAATACAAGACCTGGAGCAAAATCAGTCTGCTTATTACAGCAACATCCTAAAATATTTTCTGAACAAATTCAAACTATTTTTTGTCTTTCTGTTTGTTATAAGGTAAGTTATTTGCTACAATGGGTTTATTGCCTGCATCTTTTTCAGTGCATCACTATAAAGAGATACAAGGCAAAAGACAGTAAGATGTAATACTGCAACTATAGATATTACTTAGAAAACGCTTGCGTTTTTTTAAAGAAAATTATCAGAATATTATTTATAAACAGTATGCTTCTTTAGGTTCTGTCTGCTAATATAAGGTGGCATCTCTAACTTTCTATCTGAAGGTATGTATTCATTGTAGTAACAATGCTAATATGATGCTGCAGTAGGATGCTAGTTTATTTTTCTGACTGCAAAATGTTTGTAGCAGAGTGTATCATAAATACTAATCCCATACTGAGTTTCTTGATCACATCATACTTGGAGAGATGGCAAAAATGTCTGACTTTACATATTTGCAAATTGTACAAAATCTGATGCCATGCCTGAAAGAATGACATTGTTTTCTATTGAGGTGGCAAAAAAATAGAATTTATTTTTTACACTAAAAGCTGTGGCTTGGTTAGCATATTGTGTGAAACTAGTCGTTTTGATTTGCAATCCTGGTGTCAAGCCCCTGGCTTGCCATGAGCCAGGAGATGGGGAGCATGCAGCCAGCAGCCGACCAACGTCTGTGTGGGGGCCTTGAGCACCGCCTGACTCCCGACAGTCAGCTGGGAGTCGGGACAGCATTCAGAGGTCGGCGTGGAATCGGCGGGGCCATTACACACCACCTGGTCCCCAACAACCAACTGAGAGTCGGGTCAGCGTGTGCACGTCAGCTGGGGATTGGTGGAAGCGCCGTGCGCCGCCCAACTCCCGAAGATCAGCTGGGAGCCAGCCCAGCCTCCGCATATCGGCTCGGCTCCTGGGAGTCAGCTGGGAGTCGGCCCGGCTCCCTGCCAGCAGCTCGGGGTAGGCTTGGCCACCTGATGCTGCGGGTGCCTCCTCCAATGTACTGGACGCCAGAAACATTCCCACCACCGGCTGGACATTTGGACTAAGCAAGCCGGACGAGGGGGAGATTATATCTCACCTTGGCTGCCTCTCCCTCCTGCTGGGCGCAGGGGGGAGGAGGCAGAGCGCAGCCTGGTTGCCTGAGAGAACAGCTGGAATGGCAGAGGCTACATGGGTTCATCTGGAGGGGGGGAATGCGGACATTGAACTGCACCTTTTATCCATATGGACCAGATGCTGGCTTGCTGATTGGGGTGGGGTTGGTGGGAGGGGCACATCTATGTAAAGCACTGGGAGCAGTTCACTCCCAGTGCTGATTTTTTCTTTGCATTAAAGTTTGCTGGTCACCTGTTCCTTTTGTGTCTGGAGTTTGTCGGCAGCAGCAAAGGACAGTTGACACCTGGTTTATAAGGTTATAAAATGAATCTATTTAAATGTAGCTTAGTCAATAAAACATGATTTAAGTTGTTTTGTTCTGTAGAGCAATGGCTCAGAAATTAAAAACAGTAAGCTTATCACCTGGAAAGCTGACAGCCCAAGATTCAAGACTTGAGCGCCATGCGATGGGGTGAACTCCTGTCCTCGCCCCAGCTCTTGCCCACCTAGAGTCTGAAAGCATGCAAATGAAAGTAGATAAATGGGTACTATTTTGGTTGGGAAGGTAACAGTGTTCCATGTGCATCAGCTTATAGTCATGCTGACCATATGACCACAGAAGTGTATTCAGACAACGCTGGCTCCCTAGAGTCAGAAACAACTGGACAGGGGAAATCTTTACCTAAGTTGTATTGCACTGTAGTATAGTAACAACTTCTTGGCATTTTAAAGAGGAAGATATACATTATGGCATAACTGGTTTTTGTTTCTGTGAAAATCTTTCTATTTATTTAAAATATATCTAAGTTCCAAGATATATACAGACTCCAGACACTGGGTTATGACTTCATCATGTCTGTCAAGATGTATACTGATGATATCTGACTCCAAACTGATGGCTGATCTCACCCAGCAGTTTCATGTAGAAGTTAAGAAGGAAAAAAAGCATGGAATCCTGCAGTACTCCACAAGTAAGGAGCCACAGCTGCAATTTCTCCCCACTGTCAACACTAATTGAAACTGGCCACAGATTAAGACCACCATCACAAAGTGGGACCTCCTACTTCCAACCTCTGAAACTGGTCCAAAAGGTTTCTGTGGCTGACAGTATTAAAAGCAACTGAAAAAATGAACATCCGGTTAAATGTATTTATTATAGTACCATCTAATCCCAGCTTCACTACAGATCATAAACAAGCAAGGCCAATGCTGTCTCCATCCTAAATCCTGGCCTGAAACCCAGATAATTTTTTTTTAACTAAGATAATCTATTTCATAAGGGGATTGGAACTATAGCCTGACTACCTTCTTTATAATCTTCCATAAGGGAAAGCTACTGTTTGGACAATAATTGTTCAGAATCATTGGGCACAGGAATGGTTCTTGAGGAGAAGAAATATCATAGTGTCTCTGAAAATCACAAGAACCACTTTCTCACTTAAGGAATCCAACACCACCAACAGACCCAATCATAGGTCATCCCCAGGTGACTTTTGTTATCCAGGAGGATGATCGAACAGGCACGACCCTGGCCAACAGGCTGGAGAGACCTAGCTACTTCCTTAGAACTCACAAATAAGATCTTGCTTCAGGCCTCTTATTTAGACCTGTACAATCAGAATCCAATTCTAGACAAATCTGAGTAACTTAGTCTCACAAATAGTAAGAATATTCTTCACAGAAATCTGCAGAAGATCCTACTACCTGTCTCTTCCCAACAGGATTTGGATTACTTTTAATAATGCCACAACTGTTAGCAGGTACAATATGGGCATAATATCAAACAACAGTAACATTATCACTATGATATAATACCTAATATAAGTTCTTACTTGTATTCAGTTGGATTAACTTTTCATCTTCCTTCAGTGTCTCTTCCTACACTTCATCTCCCAGAGGTTTCAGAGGTCCAAAATGCCTGCTGTGATTGATACACAGGGAACAATCTGTATGGGTCAATCCAATTAAATGTCATCTCTACATTCAAGGTTTTATCTAAGACTTCAGCTGAAATGTCCACTGGATCCTTAGGGATAACTCAATATTTCCTTTGGAATGCAGATGGGTCCATCATTTGCTTGGGATGGGCCCTTAGGATAGTACTAAACAAGAATCAATTGAAAACTGATCTGTCCACAGCAAAGGATTGTTACAAAGGTTCTCCAAAACCAGATTGTTTCTCAATTGTCTTGGAAATAAAACTGATCTAATCTTGAACCTCCCAGTATGCATTGAGCCCACAATGACTTGGGACAGGTCCATAATTGCCATGGAGGCCATAAATCATAATACTTTTATGATACAGATTTGTTATTATCATTTGAAAATTGTCACAGGTTGGCTTGGTAGAAGGGGGAAGGTATAAATTTGACAATTTTATAAAAAAAGAAGAAATATCACCATGTATTTTATCTATAGATCACTGTACTACTGATCCACTGTAATTGGATAAAACACTTCCTGTTTGATTTTTGAAAAAATTTAACATTCAATAGGAAGTCTTAAAGGTTATTTATACAAGAAAAGTTAGCTTTCTTTGCAGGGCAAGACAAGAATAACTTCAATTTACACGGTGACATTTGCATCTTCAGTACCTAATTTCAAAATGTGAATATTAATAGCATTGACTATTGGAAAAGTGAGGGGAAATGCTATATCTTACCTGATAAGATCATACTTATCTTATTAATATGACAAACATGAAGTTGTACAATGAATTAAGATATAAGCCCACCATTGGGAACATAATGTCTTTCTGAATTCTTCAGTTTGGATCCAGTTTCCTATCACATGCACTTTATGTAAAAACTATACAGCTTAATGAAGATCCCATTTGCATTAAACACTGCAAATGTATTGGTATCCCACCACACAACTGGCAAGCATACAGACATTAGGCTCTGAATATCAATCATCTCTCTTACCAGCAAGAATTTTAAACCACATGCCTGGGAAGACCACTTCTTTTTCTGAATCAAGCTCTCTTGATCAATGGGTTCAGTGGTAACTGCATATGAACATAATAAATGAAAGAGGTCATGCCATAACAGAAGTGATGGCTTATTATTTTAATAGGCTACAACTGTTGAACAAATCCTCTATCACATTTGCATACTGATCTCAGCAACTAGACAACCTTGGTATTAGTGAGGCTAAACTTATTTTGCATTGACCTATCTCTGTATAATCCATATATAACAGAGTTTCAGCCTACCAATAATCCATTTTCCTTGTCATAAATTCAGTTATACTGGTACTGTTTCTTTGTTATGCATTTTTCATGATTTACAGTTTAATGAACTACTGAATAAAATTTACATTTTAAGAAAATCCTGGATTTCCTCATTTCCAATCCTTTGAGAACAGGTGTTATACTGGCAACAATATACAAAACTATATCTGACTTGGGTTTTGATTTCATAGCGAGGACACAATGAGGTTAGAATTACAAATGTTATGAATGAAGAGATACACTGAATTTAAATCTTTGAAATGCTTGACAGGATTGTAGCCATATTTATGACCAATATATTATTGGTGCTTCAATTTCAAAGATAGGGATGAAAGAGTTTCCTGTTTTGCTTTTGTTTGATTTATTTTGCAACTACAAAATCCGCAACATTCTTTCTGAAACTGTTTAAAATATTCCACAAGATAACAGAAATATCTACATTTATTTTTCTGCATTTTTTCCATAATAAAATGCATTTGGCATTTGGCAGGAAAAAATAAATAAATCTCAGGATCTTATACATTCAGAAACATGCGGAAGAGGCTTTCATCCTGCAGTGGATAGATAATGGCTAAAATGATGATGATGAAAACGTATTTACCTATATAATGTGCACATTTTATCTGCATTCCATATAACATATACATTTTCATGTTTATTATGTTCTGTGTTTAAAAATTCAAAAAGGGAATATTTGGCAACGAATTTGCATTTTGGTTTCTCATGCAAAGCCCCCAAAATAATTCCTTCAAAACAATTTGTATCTTATCCATTCCCAGACTAATTGATTTGATTGAAAATAAAACAGTGCTAATGAGATGTGTCATTAACTATGAGAAATAGATTTTCTTCTAAATAGTTTCACAAAACAAAAATTAATACAAAATAAAGTACTATGAATAATTTCATATATTCTGTATGTTTGATACTTACATTGAAACTGCTTCTAGTTTCTTAGAAGTGCATTTTTCTCATTAAAACCTCCCCAGTGCTTTTGAATATTTAAGAATATTCAAATATGAAGGTTCTGGCATTCCTTTCATATTAGATCAGGGGTGTCAAACTGCCGGCCCATGGGCCGGACATGTCATCCAGAAGCCACGCCCACCCCATTGCCGGCAGTGGCAAAACTGGCCCGATACATTGCGTGACGTCAAGTGACGTTGTGCGTTTGACATGTCTGTATTAGATGAAGTACATATGCAGATACATGACTTTTTTCCCCAAAAGATATAAACATAGATTCCAAGAGTCCAGATTAAGTTTTAGTTGTGGACAACTGGAAGCTACAGATTAGATATACAATATGTGTCAATCTACCTCAGAGGATTAAAGAAAGTTTGTGTCAGCACTGAACTGAGTAAGTGCATCCAAAGGAGCATTGGTTATGTACATGGTTGAATACCTAAAGGGTTATTTTTTTCACTGATCTCTTTTCCTACACTGAGATGAAAAAATATTTACTAAATAGGATACAAAGAACTTTATTGTCTTTTAAGTCTAGAATGAAATTCTGTAGTAATTTATTTAGTAAATTGTATTTAATTGCATTTTTTTTTACTAACTGAAGCTACAAAAAGAAGAAATTAAACTAACATCCATTTGTGTATGTCACTTTGACGGTTCACTTACCCACTGAACCATTGTATCAATCACATTTGAACTCCCAAAATAGTAATTAAATAAAAATAAATCTAACATGCATATCTTTAAACTCCTCTTTTCCCCCTCTTCCCATTCTTAATATTCTGGAATGTGTAATAGCAGAGCTACAGAATGAAAGGAATTTTATAAAATGAAGTAAAGCATAAATCATGCAGGCTGGTGAAAGCTATGATATAAGATGAAGATGAAATCTAAAAGTATTTACATTCAACAAGCCTCCCCCACCCCCAAACAAAAGCATACCAGCTTAATTTCCCATGCTAAAATCACTTTTAGGAGAGTGGAATAAATAGTGGAAGTTTCATAGTTGCAGCTTTAAGACCAGCAAAATCTATGCGAGGCATAAAAAAAGAAAAACAGAGACACACCAAAATTAAATGCATGGATTACAGCATGAAAAAGGCACCAAGACTATGATAAGAAAAAGAACAGATTTCCAGTGAGTTAAATTTGAGGCCTTCCAGCAGGAGAAAAAGAAGATTAAACTGTATTACCTCTAGTCACTGAGAAGTTCCCCAGACAGTTTGGATGTAATTTGCAAAGATCAGGGGCAAAAAAAAAAAAAAAACCCAACCTTCTCTGTATTATGGCTATATGGTTTAAGGGTGTGCATTCTGAGGTTGCAGCTCTAATCACTTTTATTGACTTGCTATTGAAAGATAGAGATGAGATATGGCAGATAGATGAAATACCTCACACCATATTTTTCAGATATTTCATGATTAATATTGTGAATATTAACGATTGTTTTAAAATATAAATGACATATACTCAATGATGTAAATTTAATATTAAGATATAAGTAAAATAAGTGCATAACTGTTTCTCTGTATGTAATTTTAAAATAAATGGGATGGACTTATGAATTTTTAAAATAAAAACATGGCCTTCTCTGATTCATTTATGTATGTCACTATTTTTAACCCAGCTATTTTCATTAATATATTCTATGTAATAAGTATACTTGACCTTTTTAAAGGAAAAGTATTTTAATTTATATATGATTCTAGTTCAATAAATCCAGTGACATATATTCAATACAGAAGTGTTATATTTACATGTAATTCAAACAAAGTAAGATTTAGTACACATAAATTGCATTACCCACATAACCCTTGATGAAGATTAATTAATATAAGATTTTCTTTCACTAAGAAGTCATTTGTCTTGCAGTTGTAACACAAAATCAGTATTCACTGTTTAATTGTTCCAATATATTTTTAATAGATTTTATAAAGTTAGGTTCTGACTTCATTGGCTGCACTGTTATGAAATGTGACTAAAAGTTCACTAACCATATTTGAATATGGAAAAGATTTCCGTATTCTTTTAGATTTCAGCTTTCCCTTAGATCAATAAAATATCAACAATGAAAAAGAAGAATTAGAGGCTTGTTTTCAAAACAATATATTGTATATATGTGTACATGTAATCATATTCATTTTATAATACTGAAAATTTAAATAAGTGTCTCATCAGGTTGTCTAACAAACTATCTCATTATGCACGAGGGCAATTCGGAAATAAACCTCCATTTGATTATCAATGACAGACACTTGCAGATACAGAACTTTTATTATACACATTAGAAAACTACAACATTACATTACTTTTTGACATAATTGCCATTCAAATTGAGGCATTTGTCATAACGTCTTACAAGGTTTGAAATTCCTTTGTAGTAGTCATTCAGCACCAAATCTGGGATATGGGGGGGATGATCAAAAACATCCTAATGGAACTGCTTCAAAAGTTCTTGGGTGTGTCTAGTGGTGTGCAGGTGAGCATTATCGTGAACCAACACCACACTAGTGGTCCCATGGTGAAGATACCAAAGGAGTACTGCTAGTTCATGAGTATGATTCGACCATCAATTCAGAAGTCTACTGTGAAATGCTACAAAAACTCAGACGAGACAGCCATAACAAGCATCGGGGCATGCTGACTTCCGGTATGATGTTATTTCACAATAAGTGAACCAACAAGTACCTCAATTTGAATGGTGATTATGTCAAAAAGTAATGTTGTAATTTTCTAATGTGTATAAAACCTCTGTATCTGCGAGTGTCTGTCAATGATAACCAAACAGAGGTTTATTTCCGAATTGCCCTCTATATGTTGCATAGAATCCAGTAAAATTTTATGTAGCATTTCATCGGCCATGATATGTCTCTGTTTTCAGATAATATACACAATACAGTTTATCAGGAATACGTTTGATAGCATATGATGGATCCATCACATGATTCACCAGGAACTACTGCTGCTTATTTAAAATTTGGTGTTGTCAGATCACCTGTCAGCAACATTAATCTGATGCTATCCAAAGGCTGAGGATATGTTCACATATCTGAGAAGATATGTGAACCATACAATAAATCTTACCTAAGCCAATGATATCTCTTAGTAAGCTTTACAGAGCTACAAGAAGGAGTAACCACAGGCAAATATGGACATGACTGTTGTGTCATACTTTAATTTAAAACTTATCTTTCCTTTGAATATGCAATGCAGTTTACATAAGGGTGTCCCCTCTTAATCAGCATAACAGCAAATCTTGTGTGGGGCAGACTGAGTTGGAAATTGGAATAGAATAACCCAGGTCATCCATGAGCTCTGTAGTTCAACATGAATCTCCTTTATCTAAATCCAGCACTTTAATTACTGTGTCAAAATGCTCCAATTGTTTTAATACCTTTCTTTGCTACTGCAGTCTACATCAGGAAAAATAGCAAATCATAATATCTAAATCTTCTAGAAATACCAGGAATAGTATACTAATGTATCCTAACATACTTGCTATTTAAGAGTCAGATGATGAATGCCAGATTCTCTTCCTTCTTTCCCCCCCCCCCAAATAATTTCAATAAAAGAATGAACTTTTCAGGCTGCAGAACCCTAGATAGGAAACAGCTTCCTGTGACAAGTCAGTGTCAGTCTGCTATTCCTCAAGGCTATTAGCCACATTTTAGCATTTCACAAAAAAATGTAGTGGGGTACAGCTGAGAAGTATTAAATATGGATAGATGAGACCTTTAGTATAGGATAGTTGTTGGTTAGAAAGGGGGCTGCTTTTTAATGAGAAGCTTACAGTGAAGGTGGCTGGAAAG